CTCATTGAAATAGTCTCACAAAAGGTAAAATTTCCCTTGCATTATAGAAAAAAAGCAAAAAACAAACAAACAAACAAAAATCCTGCTAATCTGAGTACAGCCAATTTTCTTGGACTATATACAATGAAGCAAATGTCATTATATGATCAGGCATGAGAAGCTCTGCTGGACGCCATAGGAGATGGATCAATGACTTAAAACCACTGAGTGACAATTACTTCAAATTCAGAATCCTACAAATGCTAAAGGGTTGAAGTTGAGAAAATAAAAAGTTTTCAGGCATACAAAGACTCAAATAACTAGGGGCCGGGGATTTGGCTCAGTGGTTTCACCACCTGCTGCACAAGCGCAAGGACCCGAGTTCGATCCCCGGTACCAAAAAAATAAAAAGACTCAAATAACTTACCTTCCATGTGACAATTTTCAGAAAGTTATAAAAAGATGGATTCCACACAACACAGTAAGTAAGAAAGGATTTCCATAAAGGGGAACTCATAACAAAGAAGGGCTCCAGAACAACAATTGAGTAGATTTAAAAAACATCTAGACCACATGAAGCAGGAGAAGAGAATATTCCAGAATAGACATCTCCATGAGGGAACATTAAAAAAAAAGAGATACCTGGTATGTTTGTCTATTCATGGGGAGTTTTCCAGTTTTATTTGAGCAAATGATGAATTGGTAAAAGACACTTAGAAAACTAAGCAAGCAAAAGAATGAGGCAGTTATTTCTTGGGGAAAAATAGCAAAGAAAGTTAATATAATTGTAGAATGTTAAGTGGTTCAGCTATGAGCAATATTTCTGTAACCACAGTGATAACCATTAAATACTGATTTAATCAAAATTGTCAATATATGACTGTAGAGTCGTATGTGTGGTGTGGGAAATATATGTAGGGTGGGTGGTGTAAGTAAACTAAATTCTCGTGTAACATGAAAGTCAGCAAATAATGTCTAAATTTGAAAAATTAGGAAAAATGCATGATTTTAATATTATTTCGAAAGATTGGTGTACCCAAACATAGCTATAATAGTTGATAAGAGTTTAAAGTTTTTGCTTCTGGAGATCAGAATTTAGGAGTAGGGAGAGGTGAACTACAAGGGCTGCTTTTGTCTTAAAGCCTGTAGTACTTCAGGGCTTATTATAATGTTCACAAATATTAATGATATAAAATTAAAGTTTAGTTGGGAAAAAGTGGAAAGAAATTTCAAACTTTTTACAGCATG